TCTATGCAATATGATTGGTAAAAAATTAACTAACGGATTTACCAATTGATTAGTCTATTAAAGGGCAGCGATCAGTCGGATTAATTTTTTTAATCAAACCACAGCTCCAATCAGCATTCTATGTTTTATGGAAGCTATGGTTTGTGTGAGATAATAAAAATATGTGGGACCAGCGGTTGTATACAAACCACAACACTCAGATTCTGGAAGTATCCGACTTAAGATTAACCGCTTTGCTGAATTTCCACGCAGTGAAACAATACAACACAACCTTTAGTAGGAATAACCGACAACAAAAACAACAAGCGGTTAATGAGGAGGGCTCGGCTGCTTCTGAACGTGCACCCATAGCAGACGACGTGCAACAGTATCTCCGCTGTCGCATGTTTCCAATTTCGGCCACACGGTGGCGACATGGTTCGATCTCGAGGCAAATATCGCTAGCATGAGCAGTGCAATATAAACGTAATGAAGTTGTCTTTATGTAAATTTCTTATCGATATTTCTTTTTAAAAACAGGGAGAATTTTTAAGTGGAAGCCAGCTCCCCCCCCCCCTCCTCAACCTCCCCTCCCCACCCCCCCACCCTCCCCCTCTCCCTCCCTCCCTCAGAAATTCTTCTGGATTTAATTTCTCCAAATTTGGCAGGTATTAACGTAATTTTGGAAGGGGGGCTTTCAACATGCTTTTCCCTCCGTGTTCTGGCACCGCACGTCACGACAACCGAAGTTCAGCACCAACGTGCGCAAAGTCAAATTTTATGACTCGAAGTCTGACTGCCACGAACTACTTTGATGACAAGCTACAAATCTATGACTGGGATGTCCTTGCTAAAGTCAAAAGTTACAAAGTTAACCCAAAAATATTTCTCCCTCCCTCCCTCCCGCCTTAAGAAATTCTTCTGGATTTAATTTCTCCAAATTTGGCAGGTATTAACGTAATTTTGGAAGGGGGCTTTCAACATGCTTTTCCCTCCGTGTTCTGGTACCGCACGTCACGACAACCAAAGTTCAGCACCAACTTGCGCAAAGTCAAATTTTATGACTCGAAGTCTGACTGCCACGACCTACTTTGATGACAAGCTACAAATCTATGACTGGGATGTCCCCGCTAAAATCAAAAGTTACAAAGTTAACCCAAAAATATTTTACTGGTTCGTTCAGTATGGTTGCTGATATAATCGTGCTCCAACACATTCGCCGAGATCAAACATTGTTTCCCAGGCTGACAAACTGATGGAATGGTCGCCTTGTGCACAAAATGTACTTTGGTGGTTTGTAAGGTAATGGTACGGTGCTTGGCACATGTTCTATAAACAAAAACCTTTCTCGAAGTGGTAACAAATTATGCCACAGGAACAGGCATGTCATGTTGCAGTGATGCGATGGACCTGAGCCCTTGTGTAGCACCTTTTGGAACAGCCAAGAGTCCATTATGAAGAAACCAAAATGACTTTTGGAGCACAAGCACACACCTCAGTTTTATTTGTACCACTGTGAATATTCTATGTTAAGATTCGTGTGTTGGCCTAACTAAAAAAACATCCATGCTTTGCCTTCACACTTCTGTGGTCTGTGTTTGATTTCCTCAAACACGGAACTAGCTGTTTAGTTGCATACAAAAGCACTACCTAGGCATGACAACAAGACGCTGATCAATAAAGGACAGTATGGACTGCTGAGAATGGTCATTTTAGGCATGGAATAAAATGTAAACCAAATAGTATATTCAATGCAAATAATGTTAAAATAATCTTGAGCACACAAAGTGATGTTTAATTCAAGTTCTAAAGGTGTAACAAAACAGAAATTCTTCATTCAGAATAAAGAACTTTTGTCATTAAATTATGAAAGCTTGTAGAACCGCATAATAACCGAGATCAACATGTAAACGATAAATATGCCTTCTTAAAACAATTAAGCCAAAGTCGTTAAGCTTATTCCCCCAAGGTTCCCTCTACTGCTTCACCTAATTTAGTTTTAATTTATTCATTGACTGTACTATCGGAAACAATATGAGCGTGAACGCGCCTCCGCGTGTCGCCGCTACCTGAGGCGCCCCCCTGCGGCGCTGTTGTGGAGTTTTGCGCATGCGTGTAGAAATCCTGTCGCTGTTTTTGCTTTGACTGTTAACCCCCATCTGTCGTCTGCTATGCGCGCGCAGGCGGCGGCTCGCGCTGTCGTCTGCTATGCGACTCGTGTATTTCCGTCACAACTCAGACAAACGACTTAACATGATTCACGAGTTTCCTGTGCGATAACGCAATGCCCACATTTGATACGTGATAAGTAGCTGGCTTCTTTCATTGGGTCGAGATACAGCGACAACAAATGGAATAAAGACAAAATATCTGCAAAGCTTAGCGTTCAACTACGGTGAGCCCGGAAAACATTCAGTTTAGTGAAAAATGGCTAGAGTTCCTGACGACGAACGGATCAACATAGTTGAGCTGTCCCTCCGAGGCTACTCTCAGAGGGCTATATCCAGCATGGCTGGAGGACCGCTGAAAACGGTGAACCGGATAATACAAGCATATAGGGAGGAGCTGCCCAGGGCAAACACAACTTGCGTAGAAAGCGCGTGTGTCCGCCGGAGCACGCAATGTTGTGCGGCAGACGTCAACACATGCGGACGCCAGCGCAAACACGAGTCGCATAGGAGACGACAGCGTGAGCGGCCACCAGCGCACACAGGAGTCGCATAGCAGACAACAGCACGAGCGGCCGCCAACGCGCGCATAGCAGATGACAGACGGGGGTTGACAGTCTAAGCGAGAACAGCGACAGGATTTCTACATGCATGCGCAAAACTTCACAACGGCGCCGCAGGGCAGCGCCTCAGGTAGCGGCGACACGCGGAGGCGCGTTCACGCTCATATTGTTTCCGATAGCACCTCAAATGAATAAAACGCATACAAAGGTGACAACTGAACAATGGAGTTAAAATTAAAATGAGCCTATAGTGCAGTTCATACAAATTTTATTACGAATACCTTCGCTAAATCCTGAAATTAAAAGGATATCACCAGAATACCGCAGTCCATCATAAATAGTAGACATGGTTTAATTCAGAAATTTTTACTGCAACTAAGAGCTGTTACATTAACACTCACAAAATTCCTTTCTTTTAATATACCCGACGTTTGCATGTTTAACGCCCCGCTCTGGGGGAAGGCTTTCACTTTAGCACTCGGATGCACCACAGCGAAGCAAGATAAGCAGAATTGCAATAATTACTTCGCAGTTGCCGCTTCACTGCAGTACACAAGAGTGCGGTGAGAACCGCACACAACAAAGCTAACTAAGATGCCAGAGCAGACAAAGAACATAAGCGAAAATTGCAAAAATTCCAAGTACCAGCATTTGACATTGACAGAGAGATCAAATAGGATAGTATGTTATTTGCGGGTAAAATTCAAATTTTCGAAAATTCGCACAAGCCTACCATAACGATCTGGACATGTAGCGGTGCCTGAGCCATTATATTTTCAGTATTAATAAAGTAAAATCAAGTTTTGGCACAATGTTTGCGCAAGTTCCCCAAATTTGGACTAAAGGTAGCAGAATGTAGCAGGGTAAGCGCTTTGGCGCAGTATGGCACAAATGGCGCAGCAATTGCATCACTGATGTCAGATGTCGCGACTTGGACAGTTGGTTACTAACGTTCCACCAAGAAGAAAAGCATGGGCAGATGACGCAAGCGTCACCGTTGCCGCAGCATCCCAACTTCTTGCAGACGAAGCTTCCTTGACCACCAATCTGGAGAGTGATATGCAGCGAAAGCAGGCTTCCGCTGCATCCACCTCCTTGGCTGCATGTGTTGTGTGAATGCCAGGACTGCGGCAAGCAACAATGTGACACGTCTACGATGTCATTGGGCAGAGGTTGAGGAACCACGTTTGAAGATGCAGTAAACACGTCGGTCGAAGACACGTTCCAGGCGCCATAGCGTCGGCAGTCTTTAAGTGTGCTCTTGGTCACGAATGAAACTTTTCCATAATGCTATGAGCTCGGTCCGTGACCGTGCACGGCACTGGCGTTTACGAGGAGGCTAAGAGCCGCTAATCTAGCCAGCATCAGTGGGAGTCTGGCAACCAGAAAGTGGTATTGGAATTTCAAGCCCACTTTGAATGAGCCACCAATAGAATGCGGCGACGCATCGTCGTACATAAAAGCACATCTTCAGCTCTGTAGTCTCAGACCACTGACCAAACCTCATTTTCTGCAACATTCTCTCAACTAATGTCATTTTCCAAACTAATGTCATTTTTCCCTCCTCTGCTTGCCTCAAAATGAATCCTCAATACTGCCATCACCGTCAAACTTCAATGCCACAAGTAGTGCCGTCAAGTAGAGGCACTGCAAACCCGTACGCTCACTTGTCTGGCTCTTTTTTGCTTGCAAAAACACCGTTTTGATTGAAAACAAACAAAATTAGCTTATTTCTAAGTTCTTTTATTAGAGATAAATAAAAAGCCGGTGCTTGCATACAGTGACCAATTACGGACATAAAAAAGATGTGGGTGTACAAGAAATAGTCTTTTTAAAACTACTTGTAGTCGTGAATTCGGGTGACTCACCGAGAGTGGGGTGGCCAAATGAAAATGCCCTCTCCGGGACAGTAGCGTCCCTAACGGCAGTTTATGACCCTGTACCAAACTTTGGGCTAAATTTCGTGACCAATAGCTTATTGAGGGACTCTGGTAGCGGTAAACAAGCTTACGAGTGTGAAGTTCCGAAAGCATGCAGTATGTCCTTTGTCCACACTCAGACTCCCCTTATGAAGGACTGCAGCAGATGCTACGAGCCATCCCAGCCGATCTAGCACTGCGAAAGTATCACGTGACTGCACGCCCTGCACCTCACAAGGCGTTGGATGGGCTTTTTTGACGGCTCGTAGCGCCGTCTGCGGTTTGTCGTAGTGAAACAGAGGGTGGAAGCCTTAATCGCCACCATTTTTCATCTCAGAGGCCGCAGGCAAGCGGGCCCGGGGGTGACTCACGGTGCAGTCCGTCCAGTAGACGTGCAGGAAGGGCTGTCCGAGCAGGCGTGCCTCGTCACCTTCCCTCGGCAGCCGGCCAGGGTCGAAGGCCTCGAAGCGGGCCTCCACGCTCACCGCCTTGGGGCCACGCCCGTACGACCTGGGCAACGGGTAGGCACAAGCCTGAATTTTCCGGTGGTTCTAAATGTGGCACCCTGGCAGTTCTGCCAGCATCGCCAGGAACATGTTTAACCAGCGCACACAAGAGCCACTGCTGCACGATCGTGGCATGGCACAAAAATCCTATCAAGAAGTTGCTGAGAGCAATTGCAAGAAGAGAGGACAGGCGGTGCCTTCCATTGCGGTAACCGGTAAGCGGTAACGGTATCAAAGTGCTTTCTGTCCATGCATGGGAACGACAAATGTTTGAACTGTTATAAGAAAACGTTTCTAAAACGAACTGCAAAGTTTTGCCTTCCAAACTACTTCGTTTGTCAAAAAACAAAAAAAAACTCTTCCCTCCTTTTACGTCAGGCATTGTGTGTGAGATTGGTATCACTCAGGGAACAACAGAAACACATAGACGACACTGCCATTTTTTTTATCACGTAAAGCTTTTTTTTATGCTTTTCTAGTAGCGCAGCTTTACTCTGGGAATACAGCTGCCTGGGAGAGTCTTTTAAATGGTACCTGAAAAAAATTAATCTGAAGAGCAAAGCGGTGAACTCTCTCCAGTTATGATTATACATGATTTTTTTTGGAATGAGTCCCAAAGTTGGCAAGCCTACCTTAGTAATGGTCAGACAAATGTTATAAAAGCAATCGCCCCAGTGTCATTCCCTGGCCGTGTCAAGGACCTTCACGGGGACAATGGGACTGAAAAAATGTCCCCGTCTAAGCAAAAACCTCCATAAATGTCTAGAAATTCTGACCCAATGGAGGGCCAACCAAAGGAAGCCCGATTTCTGTGACAAGAACAACCTCCTGTGCCAGTGGCTGCAATCTGGGTAGCTTCGAAGATTGTGCGACAAGCACCGCAAGAGGAATGCCCTGCTCGGTAAGCCAATCTGTGGCCAACAAAAACAGCTTTTTCTCTCTCTCTCTCCCTCTCTCAAAAGAAAAAAAGATGGGGCCGGTAATTACCACGCAATGTTAAGAATGTAGGAAGTTATGCATCAATAGGGTAGCCAAGTTAAAGAAACCATTGGTTAAAATAAATAAAAAATAATAGGTAACAAAAGCATGCGACTGTATCTAAAAGGTAAAAAGAAGCACAAGGTGTAGAACTAGCATGCAGACGCACTTGCACACCATACTGCCTCGGCTGCTTAATGATCAATACAACTTGCAACTTTGTCCATGTTTCAGCGCCACCAAATGTCAACAGAAAAAGCAGGGCTGCGTAGAGTTATTCCAAACAGTATTCGGGAATACAAATACTGAGATACATTTGTCTTTTATGCAATGGGATATCCCTAAGATACTTCTGCAAAAACGGCGAAAAAGTATACCGGGATACAGATACTTATAGAAATACACTTGTTCCCGAACGGTACTATTTGAGGAGGGTGTAGTTTGTGGCGAATGAAAATGATAAAGTATGCTTGTGCTCTTCTTTTTGTGTCATTTTATGAACTTCCCCTTGCCTCAAGCTCCCTCTTCATTTATTATTATTGCCGCTAAGCCAACATGTCATCCCTGTTGAACCACATAGTTTCAGATCGGTAAAGATTGTGTACCATGCTTGACAAAAGGCGTTTGCCTGAAATGAACCCTGTTTCCCTGTGAGTGCGCATCTCAAATTGCCGTCTTATACGTTTCCGAGTCACTCATAGTGTGGGGAGATCGGACAATAAGGCTATACTTTTTTTCCACTCAACTCCTTTACAGCATTCGCTTTGCTAAATTGGAAAGAATTGAGGGCTTTGTGTGAGTAGCTGATTTTGTTATTCTCGCAAGTAACCTTCTTTAAACCACAGTTTTTTTTAAATGTTGGTGACTAAGATGGCTCATGTTATAAGGCGGGTTCATATTATAAATTCCGAAGCAACTTGCACCAAACAGATGTTTTTATCTTTTAAATTTATCAAAAGTGCAACAATTTTAATGAGATACCAAAGGCTGGCAAAGTATCACAATACAAGTGATACACTGTAAATATATCTCACTACTGAGATAAAAATACATTTTTCAAATGTATCTCGATACAAAGATACAGATACTCGAAAGTATCTCTAAGATATTATCGCAATATATTGTAAACGACTTAATTTTCGCAAGAGCCTGATTTTCGCGAATCGCCTACAATTCGCAAAAAATAGGTCCCGCGAACAATTCCAGTAAAATATAAACACATTGGAATCTATATTGAGGTACCACTGCGTCGCAAAAATTAGAACCCGCGAATTATTAGAAAACTTCAGCTGTGACTTAAAACGCGAAATATTGAGCCCGCGAAAAATAAGTCGTTTACAGTATTTGTATTGTGATATTGCCCAGTCCTGGTCCAATATCTGTCCCGTGATGTAACCAACGCACACCGTGGTAAACCATCCAGTGTTCAGCTGCAGCTAACACCCTCCGATCACGAAAAGGCAACAGGGCAGCAAGAGGTTAGGTGAGGTTAGGTGACAGACGTCAAGTTGTTACGAAACAGTACCCAACGAAGCTGTTCCGGAAGATCATGTTTGGTCATCATCCTTCGTGGCCAGGGAGAAATCGAGCAAGATTACCTATAACAGCTGCCTCTCCCTCATGAACTTCGGCCGGTGAATCAAAAGACTTTTTGTCAACATGTATCTGACGGCAGTACAGACTTGCTGAAAAAAGCAGCTGCACCGGCTAAAGAAGAAGTATGGCTTCTTTAGAATGCCGCACCAGATCAGAAGTGAGAAATCGAGATACGAACAAGATTGAGAAAGGAGGAGGTGCTCTGGTGGGCAGAGACGGCACAGTCCAAGACAACCATCGACGGAAACAAAAAATCTAAGCAGGGGCTGCGCTCTACGACAACAGCCTACTTTTTTGATGTGCAGGACCGGGTTATGTATGCGGGTGTATTGGTGCCACCTCGACCATACGGTTAAATCCTTAGTGTGTTGAGTCTGGCAAGGAGGATGAAACAACCAAAGACACTGTACTGATGTGCGCTGGTCTGCAATCAACACAACCAGCAAAGCGCGTACCGACACCCCGTGAGAGCATGCTGGCAGCAACACGGTCCCTTGGGCACACTCAGGAGTCAGTGGCCGCCTTCATGGGAGGGAGCGAGAGCAACAAAAGCGCAGACGCTACACCGATAGCCAATGGTGTAGTGAAAACGACAGGGAGGAGACTGGAGAATTGGTGGCTGGTGGTGCAGCAAAGGGGAAAAGAAAGCCCTACAGGAATGTCCCAAACACTACGGGACCGACTAATTAAAAAAGAAAAGCCACAAAAAAAATCACCACTAAGATCATCATCTCCTCAATATGGGCCGCCCGGGTTCAACCATGAACACAGCGCGGAGGGCCGATCTGTGCTGGCGTGACGTATCGTGCAACGCATTCAGCATACAGAGCCCAGGCGTCCGCGGCAGGCCGTATTTACATCCAATGCGCAAAAAGTAATAAGATTTTGTTTAAGGGCACCTGGGACGATGGCATCAGCAGCTAAAGGGAAGAAACACGCGTATCGGGTCTAGCCACGGGTAAACTGAAGCACAAAACTTACCGTTTCCATTCTACGGGTTCAAGCGGCAGCCCTTCCAGGAGAAAAGGCTCCAGGGACTTGAAGAGTTTCTCGTCACCCGCATCTGAAAGGCAGACATGGCAGACGTCACTTGATGGAGTCAGGCCAGACTGGGGAGACTTACAGGTGACGATGGGCTTGTCTCCCATCTTAGAGACGTACGATTCGATGCCTTGAAACCGAGAAATTTTCAGTGACTACATGTCACTCTTTAGTACACAAAGCACCGCTGTCAAGCTCATAACTGTATTGGAAACGAAGGCAGCGATGAGGCGTTGAGTTGATCCATGGTCGATGGACCGGGTTTCGGATTGGATTTCGTCGACTACTTTAAAAGTCAAACCCTTTACGCTAAAATTAACAGGCGCTTCGGCGCTTCCACCACCGGTGTAGGACGCCGATCTCACTACCCCTCTGCTTCGACTACGGTAGTGGTTATGGCGTACGCCAAAATCAATACCGTAGTCATTTCGGCGTACGCCATAATCAATACCGTAGTCTTTTTCGCTTACCCCAAACACACTACCCTTACGCCAAATTCAATACCTTGAATAACGTCGGTTCAGCAGGGGTTGAGCTCCGCATTCCGCTAAAACTGGCGGAAGTAACTTTCTGCAGCAAATTACCCTGATTGTGTGTTGTTGTTTGTACGAGCAGCGGAACGCGCGCGGCAAGCATTGTTAATTTTGATTAGCGTTGATACGGCTGACGGCACAAGCAAGGAAGCTTGGAGTGATTCTGTGTGAATGTGATTTGACATCGCTTCTTTCTGTTTCTTCGATCGTGGTGCAAATGCAGGTGCCCGACTCCCGAACGATTCGAAGGCAAGAGTGGTAGCCCACCTGTCCGCTGGTCTCAATCGCATGCACTGTCGTCATTTTGGGCACATCGGAAGAAAATAAGACGCTCACTATTTTAAATAGCGTGCGATCGGCCTGTCTAGGTTCTGGCGACACCGTTTCAGGCTGTATATGAGAAAATTTAGCCACTACAGTACGACTGCTAGCCTGGGGTATGTGCCTCACAACAGATCGAAACGCGGCGGGGGTGGGGATCCCTGGCAGCGGGACCTTTCGCTGTACGAGCTGCGGTGCGCTAACACACTCGACCTCCGATACCCCCTTGGGTCACAGCGCTTGCTGAAAGAAGTTTGGATCGTTTTAAGCAGATTTTGCAGTGCGTACGAGACGCACAACTGCTACGTACTACGTCCTAGATGCCCAAACTGAGGCTCGCTACTTGTGCGCGGCTCTCGTGATCTGGAGAACAGTATGCTCGCCATGAAAATGTTGCAGTGAGAAGTACGGAAAAGTAATATTATAAAAGTAGAGTATTTAAAACTGGCTTGCATTGTCACTGAACATATGAAAATAAAACTGATTAGGAATGCCGATCAGATCGGGTGGGAATGTGATATAGATCTTTAAATAGGCTCGGGTTATGTGCGAAGTTGCGTCGGAACAGGTGGGCAGGGGTGCTATATTCTCCATCCCTCACATAAATCAAACTCGTTGCCCCCATCCCTGTTCCTATATTCTTCCAATGTAACAAGTTCTTTTTTTTTTTTTTTTTTTTTGTGCCTAGAGTTGCAGTTTTCTGTGCTTCATCTCCCCTTAGCATGGACTGTTAGCCAGATTCTACAAGTGTGAGCTAATTGCTTTGGATCACACCATGGCGGTTGCACGAGTGCTCATTCACTGCAAGCGCTGTGAAGGCAGTCGAGGCATCTTGTGCTTGCGCAGCCTTTGCGGTTTGAAGTCCTTTGTTTTGGCCTGTTCTTTTGTGTCTGGGTTTCATGTCCTTTTTGTTTCTTGTTTTGTGTGCTGGGTATGGTTGGAAGTTATTTTACACCTAGTAGTAGGATCTTTTGTAGAAACATTGGTTTGAGAGTAAATGGTTCTATTACCTTCTTTCTTTTCCTTTGGCCGAGCAGAGAGGGAAAATGGTTTCTTCATGTCGACTTCGGGACAGAAAATAACCCACGATCAGGACAAAGGCAAGTTTGGGGAAACCGTATCTAGGTCACAGCGGCTCAATGGGCAAACAGGATGTGGCTCACGTTTTGTGTGTCGAACAGGTTAGAGAGGCCTGGTGCGCACGTTGTTTTCTAGCCATTTATTCTCGATCCCAGTCGCGTGTCTAGGCGGCAGCACGTATTCGCCAAAGGGTGGATTGTGAAGGAGGTATGGACGTGTATATAAGGCGGTGTTTGTTGAATAAACTTCAACCTGTGTCTGAGACTTCAATGTTCATTTCATTTTTTTTTTATTTTCCTAAGTCTCGGGTTTACTATGTTTGTCATTCACCAGCTCGCCTGTGTTTTCTCCCTTTCTTCACTGAATAATGTATGGGTCAAGAATTATCTGGTCTTACCCAAAGTCGAAGGGAGACCAATGGAGTTTGAGGTAGACAGTAGCTTACCACCTTGACCAGGGCAAGACCCTAGATGACGCGTTGCTGACACATGAGGAAGCTCTTGACCCAGGGATGAGCAGGCACAAAGAACCCTTGGTGAGCCTGGATCTGAAAAAAGATGCAGCACTGCGCTTTTTGAAGGCTAGCCCTGTTCCGTTTGCAATGTGTACCGCAGTGGAGGCAGAACTCTGGATGCTCCAAAGCTAAGGCATAATCGAGCCAACACAACGCGGTTGAAAAACTGGCGGTAAATCTGATGCGGGCTGTAGCAGATTTTGTGGCGAGCGTGCTTGGAGGCATTATTTTTTCAACACTGGACCTCGCTAATAATAATAATAATAATAATTTTTATTTGCACAAGAAAGTTTGCCCACTCAGCGGCGTGCAATGCTAGACGGTAAGGTTAGTACCCTTACACATGTGCGCCTGCTAGTCCGCCACTGAGTAGGTGTGGTGGTGGTGGTGGGGGTGGTGTTTGCCTGACGTGAGGTTTTCCTCGCTGGCTGTGGAAAAGTTGAGAAAAACCTCACGTCAGGCAAACACCACCACCACAAACTGTAGTCGTAAGTACAAGATAACAGATACACGTATGGAAACAATGAATAATCATAACCCAGAGGGGAAGATAAGAAAACTTGCTGTGCCCCAACCCACCCCCACGCAGACCATGGCAGAGGCCCCAGCCACAAGGCATTCCACTATAGCTGTGTGTGACAGTGGAGACAGCAGATATGCTCACCATAAACACCATCAAAGGACGACAGAGTGAAAAGGATGCTCTTGAAAATTTCGGCTGCCGCGGCAATTTTCCAGCTCTGCAAGGAGACAGTCCTAGCAGGAAAACCTATCATGGAAATTTACCTGGGTAATGTTGTTGTGACGATCTGGATCGGTTATCAAGATAAATGGGCACCGTGCTCAGGAAAGACATGTCAACGTCATCAGCTACCATGCCAAATCTACTACTTTTATTTCGATCATGAGCGCTCGCACGAGCCGCTTCAGAGCGATGTCTCTTTTGCAGCTCGTCACGTGCCAAGGTTCTTAAGTGTTGACCTGATATCACGCTGCCATTCACCAAACACTAAACAAACATTAAACAAATACTGCGTTGAGCAATATGCACATGAATAAATAATGATATACATACGACGTGATAAATGAGAAAAGACATAAATTTTACAAAGTTCAGTCCCCAGGTAGAGGCTGCACAAATTTGATGACCGGCTTCAGTTTCTCCACATGCACTACATCGCGGCCAGTACCATCCCCGAGTTCAAGCTAGTAGTTCACGGGAGAGAGCCGGCTCACAATTTGGCGAGGGCCAGTAAATCATAGTGTTGCCTTGACTCTGATGAGTGGGCTCTCCTACAAAACGAGCTAGTCCTTCTCAAAAAGAACATACATGTGCCACTGTCAAAGTTGCTTTCTCGCTTTTCTTGAGCAAGCTTGATTTGTCTGGACGTCAACTTCCGAGCTGCGTACCGCTGTCGAATGTAACACCAACGTTGGTGCTGAGGGTTGACAACTTTCCAAGGTTCTGAGACAGAAGTCCCCTGGCAAAAAAAGGCTTGATCAACGGAAAATGGGCTCAGATTCCGCATTGCTAAGCTTAATTGTCTTGATGCCCACTGCAGCACCAGAGGTGATGTGACAAACTGCTGATGACACCTTCCAGGCAGTAGGGGCATCAAGTTTTCCCTTTTCTCCGTCAACAATGCAACAGACTCAAAGTGCCGTTGCCATTCCAGAAATTCTTGGGTCAGCTCTTACCGGCATCACGTGACCAAAGTGGCCGCTTCTCTTACAAATGAGACGGAGCGGACGAACCTCAGGATATTGGGACGAAGAACATTGAAAGTCCCACAAAGTTTTTGACATATGCTGAAGCGACGCATGCTGCTTCTTTTGCTTCTCTGTTGCAGAAGGGTGCTGGTGACGATTGCTGTCGTCGGCGTTCCGATGAAGCGGTGGCCGGCCCTGCTTCGAGAGCAGGAGGGAGCGCGCTTTCTTTGTCCCTGCGCAGCTTGCACTCGCTCTGAAGCGAGAGCCAAAACCGGTGTCTTTGGTTGGCTGAAGACAACCTGGTCAAAGCAAAGGAAAGAGTCCAGCAACTCATTCAACGAAGCGAAGCGCCTGTCGAAGCATGCTTTCGTGCTTTGTGGAAGAGTGTGGCCAGGATAACCTTGCATTTCTCCGCCTTCGTCTCTGGGTAGCTGCACTCGTGGATGAGCTCCAGTAAACAGAAGGCGGAGTCGGTGCAGGATCGTATGTATGGCTCTGGGTGCAGAACCCTCCCGAGTGCTGACTTGTGCTGAACATCTTTTGTTTCGCCTCAGCTTCGTTGTCCAGGTTGTAACGATGACGGAAACCTTTCTTCATTTGCTCCTACATTGTTATAGCTTGGCCGTCTTGAGGTATGTGGTACCTAATTCACATGGAGTCCTAGCTTAGATGGTAGCTTGGATACAATCAATGGGATGGCCTCACCTGGTGCAACTTTAAACGTCTGGAACCTGAAATCTATCTGGTGAAACCAGGCGATGATGTCCGTGCGCAGCCGAGAAACCGAGCTGACAGTCACGTTGGTCAGCGACTGCAGTGTCTGCGGCTGACTCAGCTTGAGTAGGAACCCTCTTCCTAGGTGCCTTGGACCTTTTTTTCTTTGCGGACTCTTGGAGCAGTGTACGTCAGAGTCCACGCTGCACGAAAACTCCGAGGACGAGGTTTTCGGCATCATTGCCTCGAGTTGATCAAGACGATCCATGGTGCTGACAGGTGCCAGCAGGTTACTGATCAAATTCAGTGTTGCCTGTAGCTGTGCGTTGAAGAATCTGAACGCAGACATTTTGAGCAGACTGCCTTTCCTGCGGGCAAGGATGAGCCCAACCCT